GAAATGCCCTGAAGACATTTTTTCCATTGTCTTGGGGATTAACATTAGGATCTTTGTTCCTTGTGCAAATTCCTGCAGCCAGCTTGAATTTCTCCGCAGAAAATAGGATTTACTTTTCTATGGCAATGTCAGGCTGCAAACTTTCCAAACTTTTATGCTCTACTTTCCTTATAAAACTGAATGCCTTTAACAGGACCCAAGTCACATCTTGAATGTTTTGCTGCTTAGAAATTTCTTCCACCAGATACCCTAAATCATCTCTCTCAAGGTCAAAGTTCCACAAATCTCTAGGGCAGGGACAAAATGCACCAGCCTCTTTACTAAAACATAGTAAGTGTCACATTTGCTAAACTTCTCAACAAGTTCCTCATTTCCATCTGAAACCACAACATTTGGAAATTATGGGAGCCACAAGATGAGATTTGGGTGGGGACACAGAGCCAAACCATATCACAAACTAAGAATCAGTGCAGAGAGGTTCTACGATGTAGTGATTAAGAGCATGGGATCTGGAGATGAAGAGTCATGATTCAAATCTTGCTTTTACCCCTTATAATCTGTGGGATAGTGGGAAAATCACCTCTCTGTGCCCCAGGTTCTCTATTTGTATGTTGATAGAATCTGTTTCAGTGTAGTTTTTGTGTCATATATAATAGTATCTGTTGTATATTTAATATGATCTAGGCATTTCCTATTTTTTAGTGCTGGTTCTTTATTACTTCATTTTCTCCAACAAAGAAATACAGGGACCTTACAAGTTTGGACTGAGTTCCTACTCCTGATGAATTAATCCAGTTGATAAACTATGCCACGCTCATTGGTTATCATGGAACTCCACCATGGCACACATCAGTCATTCTGTACAAACTTACTGCTTAAAGCTTTGCCTACTTATTACTTTTAAGAGTGTGGTGGATATTTTAATGAGGGGTACTGTATACCATTACCATATAACTAAAAGTTCACCCATTTTCCTAAAAAGTCTTTCTGCAATTCTTCCTAACCATCAATGTGTACAGCATTCCAATTATATCATCTTCTGTTTTTGCCTCCTCTCTTCTCTAAGGCCCCATCTACTCTTTCCTCAGGTCCTTTGGAAAGTCTAAATTTTACACTTAATTGTGAGGATTAATTTTATTCTTTTTGTTTCAATGTTCTGATTTATAGCCATGCCCTATGGGACATATTTTAGGAGCTAATTAGCAGCTCAATAAGCTTTCCAAGTTAAAATAGAAGGTAATTATTTTAGATAGAGAAAGCGACTAAGATTTATTGAACAAGTACATTTTCATGCATGTTTTTAGGTTTAAATAAATAAAAAATAAAAATAGTTAAGATTTGGAACCAAAAATATTTCAATAATGCACAGGTAGAAAATAGGTCTAGAATCTAGACACATGTTCTGTCTACCACATTATATGGAAATGTCTCTTTACAACTTTGAACTATAGAATATGTTTTTCTCAGATTACATTTATGATATGCTTTCTAATTATTCAGGCACATACAAATATTGTCTTCAGAATAATATTAGTTCAATTTAATACAATAACAGTATTTCTTGAAACCATTTAAGAGAAAAAGAAATATAATCAATGGCTGTGGAATGTCTTTAACCTTCTGTGTTGCGATTGTCTAATTTGGTATTAAGCCATGTGAGGCTAGCATGGTGGCTCACACCTGTAATCCCAACACTTTGGGAGACCAAGACAGGAGGATAGCTTGAACCCAAGCATTCAAAACAAGCCTGGGAAACATAGGGAGACCCCGTCTCTTAAAAAAAAAAAAAAAAAAAAAAAAAAAAAAGTCAAGCATGGTGGCACTCACCTTTGTTTCCATTTACTCATGAGGCTGAGGTGGGAGGATTGCTTGAGCCCAGGAGGTCATGATCCTGCCACTGCACTCCAGCCTGGGCAACACAGAGAGACTGTCTCAAAACAAAATACAACAAAACTGTGTGAATATATGGGGAAAAGAGAACTTCAATTAACTTAGAATAATTAGTATAGACTTAATCATTGGCTAGATTGTTGCTGGGAGATTTATTAGAGGCTTGGTCAACTACATAATTTGAGGGGCTCAGTGCAAAATGAAAATGCAAAAACCTGGCCAGTGACAGAAAGTCAGTCTCCTTTTTCCCCAAAGCTTACCACTCCAATCCATGGCAGCTAGAAAACCACCAAAGGATTGCAGATACCATGAGACGATGTGCTCAGTAAGGGAATGGGAGTGAATGAGAGGTGCTAGCAAATATCGTTGGATGGCTACTAGAGTCAGAGATGGCTGCTACTTTTCCCATCTCCAGATACTTCAGGGCCCTCACTTGGATCTGACCCTACCTCCTTCCAGCCCACATTGTCTGGTGGGATTTCATTTGCAATACAGATGCTCAAAAATTAATATTAAGATTTTCAAAACGATGACTGCAGAATATTAACTCTAGGTGCAGGGCATTTTGAGCACTGGTTCCGACACTGCTTCACTGATCATATTGCAGTGAAGTCAACCCTGTTTAGATCAATTGATGGAGAATTTAAATATTGGTCCTAAGAAAGAATTATAATATTTTAAATATTTTTGCTGATTCCTGCTTATGAAGATAAGGAGATTTCCATATTTCCCTAACAGATACTCATCTGGAGAACTAGACACAGATTATAGAAGATGATCTGGAAATTTCCTGTGAAGCTACTGTCTAAATAGGGACATTGGAAAATACACAAATGTTTGACAAATTCAATAAAAGAAAGTGGTATTCCAGGTCAAGTAAACGTTTGGTAAAAATACCAAAGAAGTGAAGTTTAAAATATATTTTGGAAAAAAAAAGAATTGTTAAATTGGACCCTTATACCATACTCAAATATCAAATTAAAATAGATTAAATATTCAAATTTAAGACCTAAAACTGTAAAACTGCTGTAAGGACATATAGGAAAAAATCTTATTGACATTGGGCTAGGCAATAATTTCTTAGATATGCCATCAAAATAAAAAAATGGACAAAAATTTACAGCAAACTAAGAACGATTCCGTACAGCAAAGAAAAAATCAGTACAGTGAAAATGTAACATGAAATGAAAGAAGTATTTGCAAACCATGTATATAATAATATACAAAATATATAAGGAAATCATACAACTCAATAGCATAATAATAATTTCATTTAAAAATGGGTAAAAATCTTAATAGACATTTATCAAAATAAAAAGACATACAGATGGTCAATGGGTATATGAAAAAATGCTCAACATCAATATCAGAGAATTACAAAACAAAATCATAATGAGATACCACTTTGCATCAGTTAGGGTGGCTATTATCAACAAAAGATAACAAATGTTAGTGAAGATATGGAAAATTTGAAACATATCTCACTCTTGGTGACAATTCAAAAATGGTGCAGCTGCTATGGGAAATTGTATGAAAAGTTTTCCACAAATTAAGAATAGAAGGCTATATGATCCAGCAATCTCATTGCTGGGTATCTACCTAAATTAATTGAAATCAGAATCTCTATGAGATCTGTACTCCATGATCATTGTGGCACTACTCACAATAGTCAAGCTATGGAAACAGCTCAAATATCCATGGACAGATGAATGAATAAAGAAAATGTCATACAGACATGTAACAGAGTATTATTCACAGTTTTTTAAAAGAGGAAAATTTGCCATATGTGGCAAGATGGATAAACCTTAATGACATTATGCTAAGTAAGTCACAAAAGGACAAATTCTGCATAATTGTAAATATATGATGTACCAAAAATAATCAAACTCATGGAATTAGAAAATACAAAGGTACAAAGGCAGTTATTAGGGACCAGGGGAAGGAGAATGTGGGGATGTGGTATAAAGTTACAGTTATTTAAGCTGAATTACTTCTATGGATATGCTCAACAGTATAGTACCTACAGTCAAAAATATTGTGTTCCATAGTTAACACTTTGTTAAGAGGACAGGTTTCATGTTGGGTTTACCACAAAACAAAAGAAAGCAACAAAAAAACCCAGAAGTTTTTGAAGATGAATATGTCTATTCCTTTATTATAGTGATGGCTTCAGGATGTGTTCACATGCCAAACTCATAAATTAATGCACATTAAATATGTTCAGCTTCATAATGTCAATTTTATGTCAATAAATCTGTTTACAAAAAATAAAAAAGGAATGTTGGCATGTTTTGTTGGATTAAGGGAGAAAAACGGAGTATTAAGATGGAAAGAAAGTGAAGTAGAAAGATGAAGAAAGATGGGAATAAGATTGAACAATAAGTTAGGGCCAAATTGTAATGGTGTAAATTTGCTTTGAAGAATATTTAAAACTCAAAAGTGATCCTTTAAGAAGAAATTTTAATGGCTTGATATTAATAAATTAATATAGGTTTTAGTTTTCTTTCTTAACAAGAATTGTGTTGCCTGATGATGGTTTTGTGTTAGCTCAAAAGGGCTACATGTTCATAAAACTGACTTGCTAAACTACAAACTGTCAAGGAGAGATATGATATAGTGGGAAAAATTAGGAACTAGGGGCCTGAATTCTAGTGTTTGTAGAATCTTTAGATAATCCAAGCAGAAATCAGTCTTGTAAAGAGGGAATTCTGGGAATGGTAGCTTACAGTAAGTGAAAAATTTCAAATCTATATAAGAACCAACCCAAATTACAAAAATAGAAAAACATAAAATGAAAAGTGTTGAAATCAGGGAATAATGTCATACACATGATTGCAAACTTTGAGCAAGCCTGAGTGTGGTATGCTCTTTAACCCAGCTTTATAATGACAGAACCTACTAGTTCTGACAAAGAAATTGTGTGGTAAAGAACAGATTCCTTCCATACCTTCCATATTGAACTGACGACCAGGTCCAGGTAGAACCATAGGAAAATTAAATAATTATAACAAAGACTCTTTTAATAATTTAGCAAAACCAGTGCCATTGACAATCATGTGTAGATGACTGTGACTTAGGTCATAACTCACAGAAACTTAGACACAAATAACTATGGTGAGTAGATGTTTTTAATTGATAATTTCACCAGGTGTTCAATGTGTTCAATTCATAATTAGATCTGTCAAGCAACTTTCATGACAGGAAGATCACCAACTGAAGGAGATGTTTCACGTTTCCAGTGTGGTGTAATGTCCAATCCATCTTCATGGTAGTCCTGGAACACAATCAACACAGAGTCAAATGAGATGCTAAAGCTTCTCCCAGAGGCAGTGATAAAGTAAAGGGCATCTGCCAAATACGGAAGTTTTGAAAATACATGGACTTCAATTATGTCATAAAGTTTTCTTCATTGTTTAAACAAGTTAAGAGTTTCTACGAAAACATGAGTACAACTTCCTCAACTGAAGATATTACTTCAGAACCTTAGGTTTCGGAGTGATTAAAACTAAAAAACTGATCTCATATGCTTTTGTTATGGGATAAATTGTCTCCCCTGAAATTTACATGTTGAAGTCTTAACTTCCAGCACCACAGAATGTGACTGGGTAGACAAGGCCTTTAAAGAAGTAATTAAGGTTAAATGAGGTCATTAAGATGGGCCCTAATGCAACATGACTGATCTTGCAAGAGATTAGGACACAGATCCACACAGAGGAAAGACCATGTGAAGACAAAGGGAAAACATAGCTATATAGAGGCCAAGAAGAGAGGCTTGATAAGAAATCAGCCCTGCCGATATCTTGATTTTGGACTTTCAGCCTTCCAGAACAGTGAGAAAATAGCTTATTATTTAAACTACCCCGTCTTTGGTTTATTATGGCAGTGCTAGCAAACCAATCTACCCCTAATGCATACATTCTAAGAAAAAGTTACCAACTATATCTAGGAAAAGTTACAGAGGGTCCAACTGATATTCATTTGTTCTGGGTTTAGGAAAATATATATATTGTGAATATATTAACATGTAGGTTTGTATAAATGGAGGAAATGAAACAGAAGTTTCTGAAGAGATGAGTGAAACGTACTAAACATAATTGAAAACCGTACTTTATTTCAGATCAATTTACTGAGTAAACCAAATTAGGATCAATTGATTAAAACTCTAATTTGTGTGCAACTTAAAGAGCCCTTTATGAAATAAATAAGTCCATAAAGTTTCAAACTTTCAACATTCTGTAAATGCCCTTTACTTTGTTTAAATAGGGAAATTTAAACCATAATCGAATGAACTTTAATATTTTCCAACTTTGTAAATTTTTTTGAATTTAGGGAAAATTGGATGTTACTAGGATATATTCTAATAATTTTCATTTTTAAGCTTTTTTCACAAATGCCACCCACCTTAAACCCCCTTTTGAAATTCCATTCTCCTCTTTATTATCATGCTTAGCCCAATTAACTCCCCATTTCTTCACCTTAAGTTTCATCAAAGCAAAGCCACTCACTCAAATGACTTTTACTGATTGCAGGTATGGGACAGCAGACGAAAACAACATGAAAAAAAAAAAAAAAACCCTTTAAATTACATGCTAAACATCATTGTTCTAAAATTAGATGTCTATTACACATAAAGGTAAAGTTTTGGTTTTCTTATATCTTTTATTTCTAGGGTAACCTTTCCACTTGTGATAACTTTCTCCAGCAAGAAATGCCAGCTATTTTCCTTCCCTTTCAAAAACAAAAAGCTATGTCTTATGTAGACGAATTATGTTTTTCTAATGTAAACTTCCATATGTGTGATGCACTGGGACCTTATCTTTCATGTTCAGCCATCCCTTATGCCATTAAGTTGCTTTACCTAAGACAAAATATCTTTTCCTAAGAGGAAGTTGTCTTTCCTTCTAAATTACCTGAATGCATATGAAATTTTAACTTTCCTTTCTTGTCTCTCTTTATAAACAATGATTAATGACCAGGTACAACAACAACCTGAAATTAACAGGTAACTTATAGAGATTAAAAAATAGTGGCTCCCCTCACAAAAAAATCCCATACTAGAATATAAAATGCTTTAGTGGTAGTAAATAGCAGAAAACAGAACAATGATGGGATAAATGACTTGTGCACACACATATACATATGACAACTACTGAAATTATAATGTATTAAAATCCTATCTTATTCTTCTGTCTAGAAAGAGTAGCAGGCATAGATCTTCCATGGCAATGTGATAGAGAAAAAAACTGCCCCATAGCTTATTCCTTGACCATTGCGCTGAACTTCTGTGGCCAGTGACTGCTGCTTTCCCTGAATCTTATTTAGGCCACTCTGTTTACCCAATAATTTATCACCTTTTATTTAAGTTGTTCCCAATTAGGTATCCATATCTGATGTATATTATGCTCCATCAGGACTGTTTTTTAACAATTAGAAAATAACTCATTTTTAAATATACCAGATAGAAAAATTCTGTCTATACCTATATCTGACACATATATGTGTATATGTAGAGATAGTAATATCAACTATCTATCTAAATCTATATAGATAGATTATTATCTATTTTTATATTATATATAATTGATACTATGAATTACCAATTATCTATCAAAATCCATATAATTGATCCATATATTCACATATATGTATGTATGTATAATTATATATTATATATATATAATTAGGTATTTATATAATTTCCAGATCTGAGCCTTAATGGGAATTAGCAGATGAGATTAGTTTCTGTCTTTCCATCTTATCTGGTTACAGAGGTATTTAGAGTGGAATAGTGGAATAGATATTTGTATTCTGGTGACAAAATAAGATATGAAACTAGTAGGTTAGATGATACATTGGCAGAGTTTATAACTAGATGTAAGAAAGACATTTTCTAAAAGGCAAAATTTCCTAAAAGATACTTTCTAAAAGGCAATATTAGTCATAGACAAAAATGAGCTACTCTGAAAGGTGGAGTGCTGGTCAAGTAGAGATTCCAAGGAACACTCAAGAGAAATTCTTTAAAGATGATTTACGTTAAAATTGATTGAAGGAGTCTTATTTTAAATATAATATATATTTTATACATATATAATATATTTTTATATATTATATAATATACACAATATATATTTTAATATGTATATTAAATATATATATTAAACATATTTGTATATTAAATATATTAAATTATATTAACTATACATTAAATTTAATATATATTATGTTAACTATATATTTATATTTATTTATATTTATGTATTTATATATTTTACATATTTATATATTAGATATTATATATATTTTGCATATTTATATATGTAATTAGTTTTTAAGTGTATTTCTGGTTCTCAATCTTGCTATCAATAGAATCATACCCTTACCTTTTTTTTTCCAATCGACAGAAATGTACTTTCAAAGTTTATGGTTTTTATATAAATTTAACTTTTTTTATCCCACTGCCAAACTGAACCATACAGTGATTTGTTACTCACATATCCTCTCTGTACATACCCTGAAAATACTTGATTTTGCCTACCATAAAACTGCAAATGTGATGACTATGGCAGCTATTTTATTTTGTATCCAATAATTGAGAAACTATAAGAAATTAGCATGTATAATAACATTAATAACTATAAAATTGATTATTGAATATATTTAATGCCTGGAGTAGGTTTCTATGTTTGCCAAATAGTTCAGCCTGATAAGAAAACTCAATCATTATTTAGATATTATCACTGGATACTTTCCACAATACTTTTATTCATATTTTACTTTATTTACACAAGCAATTTTATTTTATTATGGATTAGGGCTCAGATTATGCTAAGGGAAGAACTTACATTGGAATCATTTAAAAAAGAAAAACTATAAAAACTGTCATAAACTATATACGAGGCTTAAAATGGAACTACGCTCCCTTAGAAATTATTGGGTGTCTTCAGAGACCATATTCAGTATGTTCAAAACACCAGAATTATTTCATCTGGTATATCTACTAACGAGGTATTGATCCAATGGTTAAAAAATAGAACTGAAGGAACACCATATAAAAATACTAAATGACTGAAAGGAGACCAGGGGTTGTATATATTTGCCTCATATATTTGCCTGCATTAGCGGCAGGGCACAGTGGCTCATGCCTGTAATCCCAGCACTTTGGGAGGCCGAGGTGGGCAGATCACTTGAGGGCAGAGATTTCAGAACAGCCTGGCCAACATGGTGAAACCACCTCTCTAAAAAACAGAACAAAAATGAAACAAATAACAAATTAGCTGGATGTGGTGATGCATACCTGTAATCCCAGCTACCAGAGAGGCTGAGGCAGGAGAATCACTTGAACCTGAAGATGGAGGTTGCAGTAAGCCTGAGATCATGCCACTGCATTCCAGCCAGGGCAACAGAGCGAGACTAGAGGAAAAAAAAAAAAAAAAAAAGGACCCGGGGGGCGGGGGGAATGATCTATGATCTAAGTATTAGTAAGTTATTACTTTGTGATTTGACAAAGATATATGTTGCAAAGAGAATGGAATAATGTCATTTTAAAAATTCCTTTTATATTTTTCCTGGACTCTCACTTTTTAAATAGGCCAAACTTTGTATAAAAAATAATGCAAATCACTATAGCACTTGCATATAAGTTTAGAATGTTTATAACCCTTAGACTAATACCTTTTTCTCTGGAGGCAAACTTTTCTGTTTATTTCATAAATAAACTTTAGAAAACTTTACTATATAAACCCACAGAGCAATGGTTTTGGATTTTGCCATCTGTTGCAAAATTAAGCCATTTTGAAATTGTATTATAGTGCCTTATCCTCTTAGCCATCCCTCCCTCCCCCATTTTTCAAAATCGTTTAGCTTCACTTGGACCCCATTTTTGTCACTCATGTGGTTTCATCAGGTTTCAAGTACCATTGCAGAATGACTGTTACCTTTTCTATAGAAATAGCTTAAGTTCCTCAACCTAAAGTACCAAAATTCAATAAGTTACTTAGCCATCAAAGCTATGTGACAATGTTAGATATAAAACATTTTTTATGAAATATAATGATTTCATGTCCCCTAGTACTTGAGAAACCTATGTTTTAAAGTTATTCTAAAAGTTAAGCAAACAGAAGGGAGAAAAAATACTCAAACAGCTTAATTCACAAAAGAAAATAATGGAGAACAATGCATATTGTCCTCTTGGTGCAAAAATAATAAATAAAATAACAAAAATGCAGTCTTTTATTTGTATGTGTGTACATGCATGTATGTATTCATACATACATATGTTTCAGTGTTAACTGTCACTCTCTCAATGCATATATACCAAGGAAGTCCTTATGTTGGAGGGGTTAGAGAACATTACTAATCATTAGTAGATAATCTTATATCTAGTTATTATTTTTTCTAATGGTTTCTAGAATCAATATTCTTAGGTATACACTAGTATTCTTCCATTTTTCTTTGAGTTTAATGTTTTACATCCTGCTTCTTAGTCCCTTTTTATTATGACATAATGCTTGATCTAGGATTCTAATGCATATTTTTAATTTCCATATTTGTTCAATACAACACATTCCTGCAAATACAACTAATGTAAATTACTAAGCAATGTGCAATACTTACTGAGCAGACACAAAGTGTATAGAGAGTAGAAACAGTAGTAGCAGGAGAGGCTGATGGTGAGCAATTATGAATAGAACAACTGCCTTCTCAAATTCTGTAGTAGATCTTTAAAAAATAATATAATTTTATGTAATTTTAATGTAACCATACATTTTTGCAAATAAAGATACATAGGATATGAAGAAACTGAACCTGTGGTGCTAAAGAAAAATTCTCCCAAATCCACAATTACACTACATAACCACAGTCTAAACGTTGGTATCATATGAGATTCATTCAGCTTCAAATTCTAATTTTGCACGATCTGTGCAAATTTATTGTTACTTAAACTTTCTGAGTTTCAGTTAAATGGAGATGTATTAGGATTGTTGTGGGAATTAAGTGATAATATGAGGAAAGTGTTTAGCAAATAGTAGTAAATAAATAATAGTCATTTTTGCTGCTGCTGTGATTTTAACTTAAAAAATATTTTGTGGATTAAGCATTTGTGAGATAACTAGAATATGATTATAATTATGCAATAATTTTGAATTTTGCCACTGCTTTTATAAGCATTTTCTTGATTATAAAGTAATCTTGTATAAGACTTTTCACTTGCTACATAACCAACTTCGTATATGACTTATAACTTCTGTGCCCTTTTTCAGTAATTCTTATTTGTTTAAGATTAATTGCATTGATTTCTCATGAAAATAAGTTGGAATAAGTAGACATCAATTAGTGATAATAAAATGATTGCATATTTTTGATGCCACTGAAAATGATATAGGTTATTTTAAATGTTATCTTCTATTTTGCTATATTGACATGTATATATATACACATATACATGTATAATGTAATAAATTGAATGTGTATACATATATGTATGTGTGTATATACCTATATGTATGTGTATACATATATGTATGTATATATAAGTGATATATATATATATATATATATATATATATATATATATAAATTGGCTATTACCACAAAGATAAAAGTGTTAGCAAAGATGTGGATAAACATTTCATGTCTCTCTCATTTGTTGTATCTAAAAATTAAACAAACTCATGGAGGTAGAGGGTAGAAGGATGGTTATCAGAGTCTGGAAAAGGTAGTGGGAAATTGAAGGAGAGATTAGAATAGTTAATGCACAAAAATTAGAAAAAAGTGAATAAGACCTACTATTTGATAGCACATTGGAGTGACTATAGTCAGCAATAACTTAATTGTACATTTAAAAATAACTATAAGAGTATATTTGTATTGTTTTTAACACAAAGGATAAATGTTTGAAGAGGTGATTACCCCATTCTCCATGATGTAATTATTAACACCCAGTCTTTGATAGTACCACCCCTCTAATCCAAGCACTTGGGGAGGCTGAGGCAGGTGGATTGCTTGAGCCCAGGAATTGGAGATCAGCCTGGGCAACATGGAAAAAACCCATCTCTACAAAATACAAAAATTATCTGGATGTGGTGAAGAGCTCTTGTAGTCCCAGCTACTGGGGAGGCTGAGGTGAGAGAATCACCTGAACCTGGGGAGGTTGAGGCTGCAATGAGCCATGATCACACCAATGTACCTCAGCCTGGGCAACAGAGAGAGACACTGTGTCAAAAAATAAATTAGTCTATTAAAAATATCTGGAAATATGAAATGTAAGCTGAGAATTACTATTTTCAAGGAGTCAATGCGATGTTCTAGGAGAATTGCATTTTACGGAGAAGGAACAAGTGTAAAGGCTTTATATTGTAAGGTTACATGTGGTAAAATATTTTTAAAAATCCAGTTCAACAAGTGCCTGGTAGACAAAAGGAATAGTGTTGTCACATGAGGGCAGACAAATAGTCAGCAGACTGATCATTAATGGATTTATAAGCCAGAGCAAAAGAAAAATTGATGGTAAGTGCGGCATCAGCACACTAGAAAGCTTTGACCAAGGGAGAAACATGATGGTTTCTATATGGATAATGGGATATGACGTTGTGGAGAGATAAGAAGCAGGGGCTTCCCCTTCACGTAGAGGGCTTTGGAGTTTTCAAGTAAGAGATAACGGTTGATTGGACTTTTAGTGTGCAGAGGTGGTAGAAAGGTAATGAATTATACCAATTCAAGTATTTTGTAGGTAGACAGAATAGGACTTACTACTAGTAGGCAGGGTGAAGAAAAAAGAGTAATTAGGGATGACTCACTGATTTTGGATTAAGCTACAGACTGGATACCAGTGTCATTTAATGGATTGGCTAGAACTTGGGGAGAAAGAGGTATTGGTGGAGGGATGTCAACTGTTCTCTTTGGGATTTGTTGATTTTGAGATACCTGGAAGCTGGTCAATTAGATGCCTTAATTAAGTATTTGGATATGGGAATATGGAGCTGAGTAAATAAATAAATACTAGGTTTAAATATAAGATTCAACAGCATAAGAATGGTATATAAAGTCATTTTTTTCATTTTTATTTTTTATTGGAATAACTGAGAAAACAACGTAGATGTAAATGAAGAGGTACTAGAATAAAAGGACACTGCTATTAAATTTCACTACATGAAAGTTCTCGGTGATGGTGTACCTCAGTAGGATATTAAAAGTAGAAGCTCAATTTTTCTGTCATTTTACATTACATTTCAATCTAAAACCCGACTTTTGAATCCTATTGGTGAAAATAATCTTAAGGGCCTTTTTATAGAGGAAAAAGAGGATTTGAAATGATTTCCTAAATCCTCAGAGAGATGGTAACATTTCCAGAAAAGTTCAGCAATCTGAACACATAATTTTACTATAAGCAGAGGAAGATGATGAGCAGGTTCCTTGAGGGAGGGGGAGAGAACAAAGGGCCAGGATTTGAAGCTCTCTGCCATTATAGCTGACCCAGGCTTACAAGGCGTGATCACCTGGCAGACCATGAGTTACAATAACCACTGACTCTTAGTAGTTGATGCAAGAGGGACAAGACCTAATGCTGAATGTTAAAGAAAAGCAATTATTCCTTATTGTTCCTTGGAAGCTAGCTCTTGAGAACATACATAATAGGAGACCCTTTCTTTAATGTCCAAGAGAAGCTTTATGTTGCATCCATAGTTTATGTCAGGAAGAATAAAGAGAAGAGAAAATCATTTAGCAAGTTCTGCAACAACATTGAGTGTATTTAAGAAAATGTTAAATCAGAATAAATGAATTGTCATTAATTGAGAAGTTCAAGGATATTGTATTTTGCTTAACATTGCTTTTTATTTTTCCTCAAATCAATAGGACTTACGGGTCACAACAGAGTTTAATAATATAGTTTTAAAGACAGCAAGTTAATTGTTTCTACATCTAAATTAATATTATGTATATATTCTTACTCTGTTACACTCTGTTAAATTCTGGTTAATTTAGTTTTGTGAAGTATTTAGCCATTTATCAAGTAGCTCTTTCATATGCCTCATTTAAATTTGTTCTTGTCAGTAATAGACAATTTTGATTTTCATCCTTCTTTCAGTCAAAATAAATTGGTTGCTATTTTCTGTTTTAAAACTTTGGATGCTTAATTGGTAATAATATCATCTATCATAAGCTAGTAACCTCTCTCTAATGAGAGACTTCCTTAACCTTTCCATGGACACTTTTTAAAGCTTTATTTATTTGGTTGTCTCTCCATGTTTTTCGAATATTTCTTAAAATGAGAAAGTCCAAACTTCATAAAATTCTAAAAGAAATGTAATCAGAAAACTACAGAGATAATATAAGAATACTGTCAATTTGAACCTTTACATTGGTTTGATTTTTATTATTTCAAATTTATTTATTTTAATTTGATCAGTAAAAGCATATTTATCATGTACAAAATGATGTCATGAAGCGTGTATACATTGTGGAATCCTGAAATCTTGCTAATTGACATAAGCATCATCTCACATGGTTATCATTTATGCAATGAAAGCACAACGTTCGTTCTCTTAGCATTTTTCAAGAATACGATATATTGTCATTAACTATAGTCACCATGCTGTACAATAGATCTTTTGAACTTATTCCTCTTATCTAGTTATAATTTGGTTCAATTATTATTACGTCTCCTATGTACGCACAAAAATGAAAAAGACAAGAATTAATTCAATCTGGCTTAAAATAAAAGAAAACTGACTTACCAAGTGTGTTTCTTTTGGGTTGGAAGTGGGACATCCAAGAACCATAAACATGATTGTGGTTGTTTAAACTTCAGGAAGAAAGATGTAGGCTCATCAGGCGGTAATACATTTTTTTTCTTTTCTTTTACTTTTTTTTTTTTTTCAAAGGAATGCTACATTTACTTGAGAGCAGACTTTCTATAAGCTGTTTAACTTCATTTCTTGGCTCCTATATTTCTTTAAATCTGTGGATGCAGCTTGAGATTATTTTAAATTTATAGATACAACATCTGTCTCCTTGGATTTTTTAAGCCTTCATTAAACTGTGTGTGTGTCTTCATAGATTTAATGTCATTATCTTCAACATCCTTATCTGAATATTCTTTAAATCTTTCTAGAGATCATTCATTGAATTCTTCATATCCCCAAATTTGAGTAAGTATATTCTTCAAGTCTTTCAATGGATACCCCCTTAATTTTTCTTGACATCTTTCTTATACATTTTTATAAATCTCTTCTGAGTTCTCCTTTGTATTCCTCTTTACTACCTTTTAAAAATTATTTAATTCTTTGAACCCTCTTGGTTTCTCACAAATTCAGTTGCAGACTACCACTATTGTTTCGTCAGATATGCTTTTGAATTATTCTTGCAGTGTGAATTCTAATCCAAGTTCTACTTGCCCTTCTTCTTTGCATCCTTCTTTGCATCCTTCTTTTCATCTTTCTTTGCATCCTTCTTTGCATCTTTCTTTTCATCCTTCTTTGACTCAGCAGATTCTTTGTTAGTAACTTTCTTGGCATCTTTCTTGGCATCCTTCTTAGACTCTTTCTTGACATCATCCTTTGAGTCACTGTCCGTACTACTGGGCTTCTTATCTTTCTTACCTTTTTTACTCTCCTTTGCATCTTTCTTGGAATCCTTCTTGGCCTCCTTTGATTCATCACCTTTGTTTGCATCTTTTTTTCCGTCCTCATCCTTTTTTTCATCTGCTTTTACGGCTTCTAATTCTGTGCCTGAATCCTTGCCCTTCTTTGAATCCTTTTTGCCTTTTTTGCTATCTTTCTTTGTACCTCCTTTTTCATCTTCAGATTCTGTTGCTGAGTCTTTGCCTTTCTTTGAATCCTTTTTATCTTTTGTGCTATCTTTCTTTGCACTTCCTTTTTCATCTTCAGATTCTGTTGCTGAGTCTTTGCCTTTCTTTGAATCCTTTTTATCTTTTTTGTCATCTTTCTTTGCACCTCCTTTTTCATCTTCAGATTCTGTAGCTGAGTCTTTGCCCTTCTCTGCAGCCTTTTTACCCTTTTTGCTATCTTTCTTTGCAACTAGCTTTTCATCTTTTCCTTTCTCTTCATCCTTGCCTTCCTTTGAATCTTTTTTTCCTTGTTTTAATTCTGATTCAGAATCTGTTGTGCCCTTCTGTGTTGTCTTGTCTTCACCTTTTTTACCAATCTCTGGGGAAAAATATTTAAATATTTCTTAAAATGAGAAAATCCAAACTTGATAAAATTCTAATAGAAACCTAATCAGAAAATTACAGAGATAATACAAAAACAGTAAGTTCTCTCCACCTGCGGCTTTAGAATCCACCTTGGCAGCATGAGTTGGTTTGAGAGGCTGCCTCCTGGCAGCTAAATAAACGGATGGTCTCTCAGAAATTCTCATTAAAGAACGGTACATCCATAATGGTTGTCTATGACCTCCTCTAAATTTTTCTTCATCAATTATCTGAAAGATTGGTTACAATAATGATGAACAACTTGTGGGTGAATAACACAGTTTTTATTAGCATATCCCAAATATATTTTAACTTCAACCGTAAAAAGATTTTAGCTTTTGTTAAAAAATGGGGAAGTTTGAGATTTCATCCTTTATTTTATTTTTTTAAAAATTTTCATCCCTTTTTTAAACTAGTGAATAATCATGCCTCATTTGGAGCTTACTTTCAGATTATAGGATCTTCATAGTTCCCTCAGGATTTTAGGTTCTAATTGGTAGACTCATGGTGTATCTTCACAATCATAGGAGGCTTTTTAAACTCTATGTTCTTGAGAATTCTTGGAATATCTTGCCCACCTTCTATTTCCAGGTATATCAGAAACTATTCTCTAATATCTAATAGTTTCAGGTTGAGACATATGTTAGTCTGTTTTTATTTTCAGAGTCTCTGGAATTTAGAATGCTACTCATGGATGAAGATAAAAGCCTGAAACTCCTATTGCTTGGCAGACACGAATTGAGTATCATCAGATTGGTAACTGAAATAATGAACTCTATAACAGGGAATATTAATTTGAGAGAAATTGTGCATTTTGTTTTCAGCTTTGAATTAAATATGTACAAAACTCAATGGCAAAAATAGCTAATCTTTGTACCAATATTAACAAAAATGGGAAAAAAATAAACTCAGGAAAAAATGAACAAGAACTTTGTTCACAATTAATGGGTTACGTTTTTAAAAATAAGCAAGTTAATGATACATTTATTTTGTGAAAACTTTTCTTTGAACATATGCAAATCCCATGTTGACTCCAGAAACATTGGGAAATATTTATTTTCCAGTACTCTGAATCCTGAATTCCATATTATGTAACTGAGGAAGCATTAAAGGTATAATGTAATCCCATGACTCAAATGAGGGGTTTCTCCAGCTGTAGAACATTTCCTGAATGTTCATACTAACTCTAATATCAGTAACTCCATATTTTTGTGCTTCTTGGAAACAATTTTTATAATATGGGGTTGCTGAAAAAGTAGTTAATGTGAAATAAAGGGGGCAACTGTATACAGTAAAATGCAAATAAAACATATCTACTTTCTTTAAGTGGTAGATGTTGAATCACCTCTAACTGTGCTGTTCAATAGGGCATTTCATAGCCACATGTGAATTTACTTTAATTCAATGTGATTTAAATGTAAAATTCAATTCCTTAGTTGCACTAGCCTCATTTCAAGTATTTAACAGCCTCATTGGACTCAGAGATAAATATTCCCATCATTGCAGAAACTTGTTGGTCAGCTTTGAACTATAACACATACAACTATACACGATTTCACAAGCTTACTACTCAGTGATTACTTAAGACTAATTATAATTACTTACTGTGGTTATAATTATTGCTAAGTTATTACTTATTACCGATAATTATATAATCTTTCCAATGCTTACAGGAACCGTATTGTCCCGTATTTGAGAAGGTTTTGATCTCCTTTTGGTTCCTGGCCGTTGTGGTTTGGGAAATAACAGGGCAAAGTGTTGCTGATTCCATGATTTTTTGCTTAATTCACTGACTAAAATAAGGAAGACAAAACACACATTTTGGAGTGAATAGAATTTCATCAGAGCTGAAATGGCATTACGTGCAACATATATCATGTAAATGAATAAACAAGTGATTCAAATTATGACTTCATTTGTTTGGTAATGTTTGCAATTTTCTGTTATCAATATGAGGAAATAAACATTGATTTTTCTATTTTGAGCAGTTTCACAGATAACTGTGCTAGGTAGTCATTGCAAAACTAACATAGCTATAATATAAATGGGAAGATTCAGTTTTACTGCTTCCTTTTAAATCTGTCTCTTCCAGTCCAGGTATTTGCTTTATGCTTTTCGTTAGCATACAATTTTATTAATAACAGAAAATAAGTTAACTGCTTCTGTAGCTCCCACAGTACTTAGCACAATGGCGGCATAAATATTCAGTAAGTATATGATTTAATCTAAGTGCTAAGGCTTAAGATCTCCTTAATTAGTAATAATTTTCCAAAGTACAGGAGTAAATGCGGCCGGGCATGGTGGCTCACGCCTGTAATCCCAGCACGTTGGGAGGTTGAGGCGGGCGGATCACGAGGTCAGGAGACCGAGACCATCCTGGCTAACACGGTGAAACCCCATCTCCACTAAAAATACAAAAAATTAGCTGCGTGGTGGCGGGCGCCTGTAGTCCCAAACTACTAGGGAGGCTGAGGCAGGAGAATGGCATGAACCTGGGAGGCAGAGCTTGCAGTGACCCGAGATCACGCCACTGTGCTCCAGCCTGGGCGACAGAGCAAGACTCCGTGTCCAGAAAAAAAAAAAAAAAAAAAAAAAAGAGTAAATTCTATACACCCAAGAATGACATTTTATAGGTAATATATTTTGTAATGGAAATTGACAAAAAGTCTACAGAATGGTGACTGGGTGGGTGAAGTAATCTGGAAACTATAATAGAAATGATTAAAGATATTTAATTTACCAATGAGACCAAGGAGAGATTTCAGCATTGTATTTAGATACATGCAGCATTAATGTGTGGAAATAATAGACATTTCTATGAGTTTTCTAAAAATCGGATCAATGGGAAAAATGTACAGAAGAAAATTATATTTAAACTCAGTATCTGAGGGGAAAGTACTTGATATTTGAAGTTATTCAAAATCAAATGCCTTTGTCTTGTCTAGTAACTAAATTTGGCGCCAATTATAAGCTGGATATAATCTATCAGGAATGTTGTAGAAGAAATTCCTGACTTATAGGAAATTTCTAAATAACAAGAAGTTATTTATCCAATTTCTACATTGCTTTTCAACTGTAAGATTATCTGATTGTATGAATTCTAACATGTAACTATTTCCGGCTTTCATATACTGAACATATTTACTTAAACTTCTTTGGATTCAAAACAAAGCAAAATATATGTAAAAGGTGTTCACTGTGCCTGTAAGAAAGGTAATTATCAATTTCATTTCATGGCAATGTTTGCTTCATCACTTTGAATGGAGGATAATACCATAAAATTAAGCACACATGTTTTGCAATACATATTGAATGCTTTCTTACCTGGAATGTAATTATCATATGGCCCAAAGTTTACTCTTTGGCTATTAAAATAAAAAAGAAAGGTTTTAGTTAATTTATATAAAATCACTGTTTTAAATTGTCATTAATATACTTCAGTACTTGCAACCAACAACTAGAGAACTATTTTACAATCTCAGATATCTTTTGTTATATAAGATTACTTCATCTCCAAGATAATAGAGATAAGCAAATGTGTTTTCAAACTACAACAGTACTAAATAATGGTTGGTCAAACAAACTATATATACACATATGGATCACAAATATATGTGTGTATATTTTCAGATGTACACTTTGTTTATATATGTGTGTGTGTGTAAACAAATTGCACATCTGAAAATATACATTTACAAAAAAATACAAAAACACAGTTGAATTATTTTTCCCAGTTCATGCTCCAAATTCTCTTGCAATTGAATTTGAAAAAAGGTATCACTTTGTAAACCCTATGCTTACGTAAAAGCATATCCTCAAAATATTCTCAAAACTTCACCAAATCCAAATGATTAAATGGCATATGTGTGCACCCATGAATTTGTGTGTACATGTGTATATGTCAGTGTGCATAAGGAATTTTATTACTTTTAAAAGAAAATCTGAAAAAAACCATATTGCAAATTGTTTTCCATTTATAGGTTCCCATTTGTTTTATTACTAGCTAAACATGGTTGTTCCCATGAAGGAGTGTTTTACAATCCAATTTTTATTTATTAGTGATGAAGACAAATCCTAAGATCTATTAGAGAAATATTACTTTACATTGTTTCATTATATTTTGGATACAGAGCCATGGTTGGTCATGAGTGAGTTTGAGGCTTATGTGCTCATACACAAACACATGTGGTGTTTATTTGACAGTGTGTAAAACCTAAGGTTTACGCACAGAAAAGCAGTGTTTTGATACCTTGACTAAAGAATGAAGCTAGCAGCATAAAACGTGGCACATTTTTTCATGCTATAAAATTTTGTATTAGCTGAATAATATTTAATATGTTTTCACCAATAAGTTATCTAGCCTATCATCTTAAACTGAGTACATGCAACTAAATTACTTGCCCCACCATATCTGAATCTCTAAATTCAGATCCAGTCAAAGTACATTTATATACTACTGAAGAAATGTTGATGTCCAACGATGATTATGAACTAACTGCATTATTCCAAAAGCTCTCAAAGAGGAAAGATTTCAAGTTCATGAAACATTTCTAAAACTGAGATTTTCAAAACAGTACATTAAAATGATCTGTTAATTTCTTCTTTAATTTCTAGGACATATTCTTTAATCACCCAGCAATTGAATTTGAAATCAATAATAAAATTATCTAGAAAATATATAAACATTTGAAAAATAAACAGCTCCTTTTAAAGAATCAGTGGTCCATAAGGACCACAATGAAAACCTATTTAAAAAGAAGCAACTTAACAATAAGATAATATATGAAAATTATAGAATACTGCTTAAAAGTTCATAGATAATAACTTACAGTTTTAATATATTATAAAAAATGTTTAAAATCAATGTTTTAAATCTCTCCATTGAAACTAGGAAAATAGTATAAGAAAAGAAGTAGAGGAGGACTAAGTATGTTCCAACTCATTTTTGAGGCTAATATAAATAACCCAAATCCTTTTGAGGTCAATACTAAAAATGCATATTACAGATGAATATCCCTCATTAATATGGGCACATAATTTCTTAAAATTTAAAAAATCATACTGACAAACATATAAAATTGCTAATACATCATGATCATCTGGTTTACTTTCCAGAATATGAGGTCGGTTTAACCTAAAATCAACCAATGCAATCATTCCAATTGACAAAATAAGTAAAAAAAAAAAAAATCACCTGATCATTTCAGTATGTGCAGAATAATTTTTGAAAGAAAGTAGTTATATGCATTCATAATTTAAAATTCTGAGAAAACTAGCAGTAGAGAACATAGTCCACAGATGGATAGAATACATCTAGATAATGCCTATTTTTAAAATCAAACTTAATGGAGGAATATTGACTGTCTTTCCTTAAAAATCAAAAATAAGGCAAAGATAAAGCTACTATATATATTCATTTAAATCCAGATTGTATTTTGTTTCATAAAATAATGAAAGCACTAAAATTGAAAAGGAAGAAGTGAAATTGTCTTTAATTTTAGGGGACACAATTGGGTAAATATGATATCCAGTGGCATCTATAATAATCATTGTTAAAGCTGCCAATCAAATGTAATAAGTTTATATGATACAGAGTTTAATGAATTATACTTGTTTAATGATTATATGATAAATAGTTTAAATGAAGTATATTTCTATATACCAGGAAAATTAGATAAAATTCAGGAAAATTAATTAAAACTTGAAATAACACAAAAGCAAATTATACAGAAACAAGTTATTAAAATACATATAAAAGCTGCATAAGTGAACTAAAACTTCTCCTCTAGGAAATAAAGAAAAGGAGGAAAACAAAAGTAAAAGTCCACAGAAAGACAAAGACAAAAATGTTCATAGCAATTTTATTCACAATACCCTCAAACTAAAAGGTGTCCATCAATGAAGGAATGGATAAACTAAGTGTGCTATATAAATGTAATGGAATACTTCTCAGCAATCTAAAGGGATCAATTACTTATATGTGCAATATGGAAACTTTAATGAATACAAAGAAATATTATATTGAAAGAAAAAGTCCAGAAATACCAGCACATACACAGTACAATTTTATTTTATTCATTTCAAAAATAAGCAAGACTCTATGTGGTACTGGACGGCCATTGGTTGGAGAAAAGCAAGTTGGATTGACTGGAATCCGTCATAATGTATCTTTTTTGTGTGATCAATGTTTTCTATATATTTCTTAATGTTTATGAGTTTAGAATTAGTGACAGTTCAATAAATTTTAACCTCTTGCATTTTTAGTGAGATTCATTTATAAGAACCAAAACAGCAATAAACCAAATACTCTTGCCCCTACTCACTATGTAAATGTGTGTGATAAGCAATTAGAGCAATTTGATCTTCTGGATTTGATAGCATTTTCCCACTCTTTCTTTAAGTCTGGCTGTGCTGGTGAGAGCATCTCTTTCCTTCCGTCTCTGGTATAGTCAAGTAATTATCTAGGTCAGGGTGCATTTGCATTCAATTTTTGACATTCTTATTGAAAAACCCCAACAGACTGTCATATTAAAAAATAAACTGTTAGTGTATCCCTTATTTTATTTTTCATTTTGAGATATTTTATATGAATGTAAATGTATTTTCACAATTTTAAATTAAATCCCTAAGATCTAATTTAATGACTTAACCTACGAAGAGGGAAAAATGTGATTATTAAGTCAAAAGGTTATTGCTGTTGTTTAATAGGACTAATGCTTAAATTAAAGTGTCTGGATGTATACAAGGAAACATAGTAATTAGTGCCTCATATTTACCAAGATTAAATGGAATGTAGAAACTAAAATTCCACCTTCATTTCAAGCTTATATATTCAATCGCTTCAAAATCATTTTCAGTAACTGCGTGTTCTGAGGTAAAGAAGGTTTCCCATTGTCAACCATGTAGAATATAATGTATTTGCAACTTAGAAAACTAGGATTAAGTTTTCTTAAATAAAAAGTAGAGATGCAAGAGACATGGGGGACTTTATTTCTTAAGAGAAAAATCTATTTCTGTTCTATCAGTATAAAAAAGGGGTTTTTTTTAAAAGGGGTAAACATTTAACCAAGTTTATTTTTCTGAGTATTTTTCCTTTTAGTCTGAATTACATTTTAATCTAAATACAAAATACACCCATCTTTACTCTTGCCTGTAACTGTATCTCTGCTTAGATGTGTTTTTAAAATGCATAGTGGATTCAAAGTCAAAGTATTTAAATGTTATATCTCCCCCAGTTACATGTGAGTTGTTCATAGACCTCCTGTTTGTATGCATATTGCCAGATATCTTGCCAGTAGACTAGATTTTTGGAATCTGCATCAGCTGCAGGCAAAAGGAGACCATAAAAGACATGGTAGAAAGCTTTCTAGGAACTGACTGCAGCCTGAGCCACTCTTGTATTTGCTAGAGGAGTCTCTGTGTAAAGGCAAGGTCAACTGCCCCAGGATTATTGTCTTGCTGAGGAATGGCTCTGTGTGTAGTAAAATTCTCTATCATTCTCTAGCATTTTCTGAAGCAGTATTTCTTAGCATGGGTTTATTTGAACTCCTCACCCAGAGAACATTTTGCAACATCTGAAGACATTTTAGTTGTCACAGTTGTCTGTCTGTATGTGTGTGTGATGATACTGGCATCTAGTTGGTAGAGACCAAGGATACTGGTAAACATATTATAATGTATCTTACTATGGACAGAATGCTGGATCTCCCCTACCCCCAGGACCCTCTAATCCTCTATTCCAACAAAAAGTGTTCTAGACTACAATGTGAGTAGTGCCAAGATTGATAAACCCTTCTCTACATCAAGGTGAATCTCTAGACCCGGATAGGAAGAGATGAGTTTAGTAATGCTACTCAATAGAGAGAAAAATGTAAAATACGCATTAGATATGAGATCAGGAAGCTAATATTGGAATTTTAACTGTTCATATTTTTAGATACCCTATCTCACATCAAATATTTGTCATATCCTCTCCTACTTGTTTCAGAAATCTTAGTTCTATTCAACTTTAGAAACGGGCTGAGTTGACTAACACAACCTAAATTTGAGGCCAAGGCTAGAAGAGATGAAACTGTTAAATGGTGTAGCTCAGGTATGGATAGAGCAAAGGTATTAGAGAAGGAATAAGTGGGAAGGGAAAAACTGAGTTCAAACAGAAAAATTTTCTTTATCAGATACAAGTTGATAGCCATAGGCACAGAAATGTTAAGTCCAAAACTAAGGCTCTGCCATTCTTAGAAGAATTTAGTGAAAAGACAAATGGAGCTGAAAATTAATTTTCTGCATCTTAAATTTTGTGTGTTAAATGAATTGGGAGCTGTCACTTGAACCCAAAGAAACATGCTAATTTGTTATTAAGATTTTTTATGTGTGCTTTTGTGGTTAATGGTGATGCCATTTGATTATGAATTCTATCAGTTTCCTTCTACAGAAACAAGAATGTTTTGGGATTACACTAGAATAACAGGATAAAAAATAGCCATAAGACCAAAAAGAGGTTTTTAACCATTGTGGTCAAGTTCTCTGAAAGCTATTTGATGCTCATGATAACAATAATAGCATAGACATTTTACAGTGCTTATATATTTTAAAGTAATTAAAATACAGTGTATATTTTAAAGTAATTAAAATATAGTGTAATTCTGCCATATTAGGTGAACACAGATTACTGCATAGTAGGCATCAAGTTACTCAGCTTCTAAAGTAATCATGACAAATGCATTTAAACCTTTACCAAAAATTATACTTTAATGATTGTTTTATACAAAGTAGGCACCAGCATCTATAGAAAGCCAATTTATTTTCAAAATTCATGTTTTATCTTTCCTTTAACAATAATGCTAAATGAAGGCCCACCCATACTTTATATTGCAAAACTCCATTCCTTCACCTTTGTTGCATGTCCTCTGTAAAAAGGTTTACAGAATTGAAATGTGTTCTTTACCTACCTTATTTTGACACAGAATAAATTAAGCGTAAGTAAGCTACTGTCATATAATTTACTTCTCATGTCTGGATTATCTGCTTTACATTACAAAACACTTTCACATATTCAATATTTTGTAAGAGGGATACAATTAGTATTCAGCTGGTCGTATTTGGATAGAGCTGTCCCATTTTTACTAAAGGTTAATACTGTGATATATGCCTCCTCTAAAATTCAGTCACATTCCTCAGTCACTATTATATACACAAAAATTATTCACAGAAATTTCCAAGGGGTTCCCTGACTGAAAATCATGAATTATTTTATTTTATATCACCCAAAATGCAATGTGACCAAAAAATCAAGTAAGACTAACAGTAAAAAACAAACAAAAAAGACTTATTCAAAGCCAGGTATCTATTTTACTGAAATGCATGCACTAACGATATCTTAAATTAAAAAAAAAAAAAAATCTGTTATGTCGCTTGAGAATCTTTGTCTGCTTAAACACATTATCTTTTGCTTATGAATGGCACAATAATAATATAATTAACATCTCTTCACACTGAATAAATTAAATGTAAAGCTAACGAGTATTTCAGTTATTTTAAAACATAAAATGTGACTTACAATCTTGGGAGAGACATTTTCCCCACCTATGACTTGCCAGGACTTAAGTATTGTAAGTTCAGACTGGTGATGTTGAAAGGTGACATCATAAAGAAGCCAAGAGCACTTGGAATTAAAGGGGTAAAACAAAAGGAGACACCTGTGTTTTATGTTCTCTAAAATTCTAAGATTAATATTTACTTTCACTTATTATTACTGACTAAATCTAGCTGGGGTCTTAAAAGTAATCAATTGATTTTACACTTTAATAAAATATTTGTTTTATTTTTTTTCATGTAGTTGTAACTTATTGACTGATAGGGAAAACAGGTAAGTCTAAACATTTATCTGTGAGAATCAGCTGCAGTCCTGAATTCCGTTTCATTCCTGTAACTTTTGTTATATCATTTGCAAAACTTTACATGTCTTTCTCTCATTTTAAACTTATTGTTTGCTCATACACAAAATATTTTAAACAAAGCTATATGCTTTTTTAAACTTATGAACATATTGATATATCTGAGATAGTACATTTTTATTAAACTCACGATCTTACCCCATTAGTAAACGAATACTAGTACTATATAGAGGGGCATTTAAACATGTTGCTCTTGTTTAGCTCTTTTTAAAACTTCTTCATTATTTTTTGTCTTAAAGAAATAATTTTGTTAAATATCAGCTACTATAAAAGGTAAACTACAAAAATATTAGTAGTTTGACTGAAAGTTTCTAACCGATCTTACACAATGATAAATTATAGAGGCACTGGAGCTGGGATGGGAGCCTTCCATAATTTGGATTTCTATGATCTGATTATTTCACTATCTGACTTAAGGAGAATATCGACGGAAGTTTTCCTGAAAAGTGATAGTTTAATAAGCAAAGTATAATTTCTAATTTTATAATATTTTGTTGAGCATTTTATAGTCTATAGTGGCTTATACAAATATTAATATCTAATGCATTTACTCTATCATCATACATTAAAATCTAAATCATGACTGGGCAACCAGCAATACTTGTCTTCTGTGTTATCATCTCTTTAATTAATCTCTTATTGTCTTTCTTAATTAAATGTGTATGATCTAGTAATATCTTAGAGAGCCAATGATATTTTTATAATGAGCATGTGTCAGTCTTCTATTACTACATAACAAATTATTACAGATTTAGTGAAATAAAGCAATACTCATTTTTAATCTCATAATTTTATAATTCAAAAGCTTAGAGGTTTAACTAGGTCCTCTGCTTAGGGTCTCACAAGACTGAAATCAAATTGTCAGCTGAACTATGTCTTACCTGGAGACTCAAAGAAGGAATCAGTGTCTAAGCACATTTCAACCAGTGGAATTTAATTCTCTGTGGCTGTAGTTCTGATATCTCTGTTTTCTTCCTGCTGTTAGCTATGAGCTGCTTTCTGCTCTTAGAAACTGCCTAAATTCCTTCTCAAATACCACCCCCTACATCTTCAAACCTGAAATATTTCATAGAGTCCTTATAGTTAAATCAGTCTTATCTTTTTTCAGCCTTCCTAACCACTATCAGTTGAGGAAAAACTTTGTTTCCTAAATGGCTCAAATGGTTAGATTCAAGCAACCTAGATACTGTCTTTATCTTACTGATCAATTGTACTTCATAATGTAGCATATCAGCGGAATGCTATCTCCTGTTATTCACAAGTTCTACTCACACTCCGAAGGAATGGTTGTTGAGAGCCTTTCTTAAAATTTTGATACAACATATCCAATGTTAAGACGAAAAGTCTATTCTAGAATATGAGGATTAATAGAAATATATCAAAATATATCAGTCATATATTTATATATATATCAACCATATAAATATATATATATACACACACACATTATATATTTAGATATTGCTAATGTCTATCCAGCATCGGCACTATAATCCTATATTAATGTTTTTGTGGTGGTTTCTAAGCTTAGAAATCATGTCTTCAAACATAAATATTCTACTTTATAAATGTATATATACACATATTTTTAGTGCTTTATAGAGTGTACACTTACTTGTATGCATTAACTCATTTTTTCTATAATAACAATGTAAAGGTTAGGGGAGGTGGTCCTTGAACAAGATATATTTCCTAAGAGTTTGCAGTATGTTATCAACTCAGAAACATGGCTTATAATTTCATCCTTAAAATCAATATATGTAATTGTAGATTCTTCAAGCTTGTAATAATCTCAGTGACTCAATGTTTCACATATTTATGTAGCATGTGCATATATAATGTTTCTATATGTATGACTTATATATCTACTTATTCATCTATCTTTCTATTCATGTATCATCAATTTATCTCCCTCTGTTTCACAAAAGATTTAAGACAATAAAAAGGGTATATAAATGTAGAGATCACCTTATTAAATGCATTCTAAGACATTTTACACTGTATAATACTTTGTATCATTTCCAAAAGTTTTATTTATAATTGACATGTAATAATTGTACATATGTATGGGGTACAGTTGGGGGTTTTAAATGCATGTATATATTGTATAATAATCAAATCGGGATAATTAGCATGTTCATCACTTTTAACATTTATGATTTGTGGTGATCACATTTGTATTAGTTCATGCTTGTGTTGCTATAAAGAAATACCTGAGACTGGGTAATTTATAGAGAAAAGAGGTTTAATTGGCTCATAGTTCTGCAGGCTGTACTGGAAGCATGATACTGGAATCTGTTTGGATTCCGAGTAGTCCTTAGAAAACTTGAACTCACGGTGGAAGGCAAAGGGGGAGCAGTCATGTCACATGGCCAGAGCAGGAGCAACAGGCCATGGGGGTGTGGGCACTACACACTTTAAAGCAACCAGATCTCATGAAAACTCACTCGTTATCATGAGACCAGCACCAAGGGGATGGTGCTAAACCATCCTGAGAAATCCACTCCTGTGATCCAGTTACCTCCCACCAAACCCCAGCTATAACATTGGGGATTATAATTCAACATGAGCTTCAATGGAGACACAGATCCAAACCACATCAACATTCAAATATTTTCTTCTAACTATCTTGAAATACATAATACATTATTCGCTATAGTCACCCCACTGTGTAATAGAACACCATAACTTATTTTCATGTCTAACTTTGTACCTAATGACCAGCTTCTCCCATACCTCCCTTTCACTATTCTCCCCAGCCTCTGGTAACCATTCTACTCCTCACCTCTGTGAGATCATCTTGTGTTAGATTCCACAAATGAGTGACATCATTCAGTTTATATTTCCGTGCCTGGCTTATTTCTCTTAACAAAATGTAATCCAGGTTCATCCATGTTATTATAACAAGATGAGATTTCACTGTGTTTTATGGCAAATAGTATTACTATTTGAGGATTAATAGAAATACATCTGCCTCATATATATAATTTTTATTATATCTTAAGATCTTGCCAATGTCTATCCAGCTTCAACACTGTAATAACACAGAAGTATTTTGTGGTTGTTTTGAGCTTAATAACTATGTCTTCAAGCATAAATATTCTAGTTTTCAAATGTATATGTAAATATATTTAAGTGTTTTGTAGGTTATAATTTGTGTACACTGAGTCTTTTTTATGATAACACAGTAAAAAGGTTATAGCACTACAATAGACATGGAAGGGCAGATATGTCTTTGACATACTTATTTTATTTTCTTTGGCTATTTACTCAGTAATGGAATTGCTATATTGTATGATGGTTCTATTTTTACTTTTTTGAGGAACCTTCATACTATTGTATGTAATGGCTGTAGTTATTTACGTTTCTACCAACAATGTGCCCTCTATCCACATCCTCACCAGCATTTGGTAGTTTTTGTCATTTTAATGATAGCCATTATAACTGTGGTGAAGTGATATCTCATTGTCACTTTGATGTGCAAGAGCATTTTTTTCATATACCTGTTTGTCATTTGTATGTATTAAGAAATGTCTATTTAGGTACTTTGCCCATGTTTATATCAAACTATTTCATTTAATGTTATTAAGTTGTTTGACTTTCTTACATATCTTGGATATTATCCCCTTGTAAGATATATAGTTTTCAACTTCTCTAAGTTGTTTGTACTCTATTGATTGTTTCATTTATCTTGCAGAAACTTTTTAATTTGATGTAATCTCATTTGTCTACGTTTGCTTTTCTTGCCTGTCATTTTGAGGTCTTACACAAAAAAATCATTGCCTAGTCCAGGTTTGTGATGTTTTTTCTCTGTTTTCTTCTAGTAGTTTCATAGTTTTGAGTATCAGAGTTTTTGTGTTTTTTGTTTTTTTTTTAAGTATTCAATGGATTTAGAGTTGATTTTTCTTTATGGTGAGAAATAGGGAGTCTAGTTGCATTCTTCTGCCTGTAGAATATCCAGTTTTCCCAGCACCAGTTATTGAAGAGACTGACCATTCACCAATATGTTTTCTTAGTGCATTTCTCAAAAATAGGTTGATTGTAAATACATGCATTTATTTCTAGGTTTGTTTTTCTTTGTTTCAATCGCTATGTATCTATTTTATGCTAGTATTTCATTTTTTTATTTTCAATTGCTGTGTGTCTATTTTATGCCAGTTGCATACTACTTTTGATACTATAGCTTTGTAGTGTATTTTGAAGTCAGATAGTATAATGCCTCCAGATTTGTTCTTTTTGTTCGAGATTTCTTTAACTATCCAGGGTCTTTTGTATTTCTATACAAATCTTACGATTGTTTTTCTATTTCTGTGAAAGATGCCATTGGTATTTTGATGAAAATTACATTGAATGTATGCTATTTTGGGTAATATGAACATTTTAAGAATACTAATTCTTTAAATCTATGAACACTGGGTAATCTTTCTATTTATTTGTGTTTTCTTCATTTTCCTTCATTAATGTTTTATTGTTTTCACTGTAGAGATCATTCAATTCCTTAAGTTTTTCCGTCTATATTTTGTTTCATTTTATTTGTTGCTATTGCTTTCATATTTAGTTTTTTAGATGGATTGCTATTGGCATACACAAATACTTATTTTCATCTGTTGATTTTGTATCCTGCCACTTTACTAACTTCATTTGTTACTTCTAACAATTTTTGATAGAGTCTTTAGGGTTTTCTG